CCATGTCCAAGACAATTGCGGCGCCGAACAGCCAGTGCCGGACAGTCGCAGAGAATGTGCACGGCGGTCTCATCGCCACCCCCACAAAATCTGCACAGGGGGGAGCCCGACTTCCCCAGCCTGTGCAGGTGGTATTTCACCGGGCAGTGCCCCGTGAAGAAATTCGCAATAGTGCGAACCCGGCTCCTGCTCATCCCCAGCAACTCCGCAGCGAATCCGCCGGAGCACGCCGGAACAAACACCTTCGCATGACGGCACCCTTTCGTGTCCCGCCAGTGACGACTGCATTCCGCCGCGAGTAGGCAGGCAAGCCTGGCCCCCACGGCGGAAGAAGGCAGACCACAGAAAGGCAGCGGCTGCACAAAGGCAGCCCCAGATCCCCTCCGCGCCAACTCATCGGCAACTTCGTTGCCCGCATGGCCACTATGGCCCGGCACCCAAATGAGCATCACTCTGTTTTCCGATGCCAATTCCATAAGTGCAGCAAGGCAGCTCCAGACCAGCTTGGATGTAACCTGAGCTGAACGGAGCGCCAGCAGTGCAGCCCTGCTGTCTGAGAACACATAGATGGTGCGGTTTCTATACCCCCTTTCCAAATTGATTCTCAGACAGATCTCTATTGCATGTATTTCGGCCTGGAACACTGTGCAATACGGGTCAAGGGTTGCATATACACGCGTGTCCGGGCGGACACCGTATACGCCCGAGCCCACACCCGACTCCGTTTTGGATCCGTCCGCATACCACACGCTCGAACCCGACCTAAGTACCGGACCACCCCGATCCCACGTCCATCGATCAGGAAACAGAACCCTGTACTTGTGGTCGAAGTTGTACCGCGGCAGACAGGTATCTGACATGGTTATCCTTAGAATCGGATCGCCCTCAATGAAGTCTCTGTGAGTTCTGTGGGCCAACTTTAGCCCTGGCTCGCCCTCGCCAGAGAGAAGTCGGTAAGTCACCAGCCGAGCTTCCTTCAATATATGGAGGTGCAGTGGCGGCAATCCGATCATCACCTCCAATGCAGCGGTGGGAGCCGTCCGCATCGCCCCGGTCACTCCCAGGCAGGCCAGCCTCTGTAGCTTTTCCAGCTTGGCCCGCACACCCGCCTGCTGAGCTTTACGGCACCATACAATCGACGCATAGGTGACGATGGGCCTAGCAAGGGCCGTATATAGCCACAGTGCTATTCTGGGACTAATTCCCCAGGTCCCCCCGATGAAGCTCCTACACGTCCACAAGGCCGCCGTAGCTCTCCCGATAACTCTGTCGATATGGGTATTCCAAGAGAGACGATCATCCAGGGTTACCCCCAGATACTTCACCTCCCTCGAGTAACTAATACGTTCACCAAACAGAATTGGGCTCGTTAATCTGTCCCTGCTTCTGCGTCTGGTGAAGGCGACCAAAGTGCTCTTGCTTGGATTTATATTTAACTCAACGCCTCTGCACCACCTTTCCACAACACGTAAATTTTGCTGTAGAAGATCTGAAATAGTGCTCTCAAATTTTCCCCGCACGACGAAGGCCACATCGTCAGCGTATCCCCAGACACGCGCCCCGGAGCCCCTGAGAGCAGCTATTAGATCATCCACTACAATGGACCACAGGAGGGGCGAAAGAACCCCGCCCTGCGGACATCCTTTTGCAGCGGAGATGAAGAGTATATCGTCAGCTATGGTGGACTTAATAATCCTATCCTGTAGCATCCGATTGACCCATCTGCTAGTCGTCGCATCAATCCCTCGTTTGTGCAACGACTCACAGATGACATGATATGGGGTGTTGTCAAAAGCTCCCTCTATATCAAGGAAGCAGCCAACTGCTACCTCCCGCACTTCCAGTGAGTTTTCAAGGACCCCCACCAGACTCTGCAGAGCGAGTACAGTAGACCTTCCCGACTGATAGGCGTATTGAGATTCATGCAAGGGATTGCTTCCCAGTGCACCGTCCCGTATAAATCTATCAATCACTTTTTCCATTGCTTTCAATAGAAAAGAAGTAAGGCTGATTGGACGGAAAGACCTTGGGTGGTTGCTTGGTCGCTTACCCACCTTCGGAATATACGTCACTTTAGCCACCCTCCATGCCTGAGGGATGTAACCCCACGCATAGCTGGCACGAAAAATTCCCAACAGTGCTCTAGCGATATGTTGGAAACCCCTCTGCAAAAATGCAGGATATATCCCGTCATCACCTGGAGATTTGAAGGGCCTGAAAGAGAAAACAGCCCATCTAATCCTGCCCATCGTGAAGACTAGACGGGATCGTTGCCAGTCATCCCTCCTGGGCCAGGGTGCCCCCGGTTCGATGACTGCATTTGAGTGATTCCGAAGAATCTCCGAGTCAGGAAAGTGCGTTGACGCCATAAGCTCCAACGTCTGCCTTCCGTTCTCAGTCATGGAGCCATCAGGACGTTCCATTAGGCCCAACCTACTAGCATACTTTTTGGAAAGCACCCTGTGAAGACGCGCACTGCTGGGGAGTTCATCAATGCCCTTGCAGAACGCCCTCCACGAGATTCTCTTCGCTTTCCTAATTTCTTTATTGTATTTTGTGAGTAAGTCCTTATACTCTTCCCACGAACCTGACGCTTTGGCCCTATTGAATAGCTTCCTGGTCTTTAGTCTAAGCCTTGAAAGCTCCTCATTCCACCACGGGCACTTCCTATTGCTCCGCCTCGGCTTAGCACGGCAGCTCCCGTGATAGGCATTAGTAATAGCCGCCGTCAGGGCCTCGCTGGCCAGTTCGATATCCATCACCGTTCTGACAGAAGCAGGAACGGATCTAATCCCATCCATGAGGAGCGTTTCGAATTGACTCCAATCTGTGGATTGGGGCACCCGATATATTTCTTCTGCCAGGCCCCCGGAGACCATGATATCAAACCTAATCTGCCTATGATCGGACATGGATGTCTCATTTGAGACATGCCATCCACCAACCCTACTGCCGATAAATTCAGTGCAAAGAGTGATGTCAAGGACCTCTTCCCTAATTGCATTTATGAATGTCGGCCTATTGCCTTCATTCATAATCATTAATTTATTGCTATATATAAATTCAAGTAGGCACTCACCTCTTTTGTTTATATTGCTGCTTCCCCAGACGGTGTGGTGGGCATTGGCATCACTTCCTATTATAAGTTGGAAGTTCCTCCTTCCACAAAAGTCCACTAGATCCTTCAGTTGCTCGTCCGGGTGGGCACAGTCCCCCGGGAGGTAGGATGAGCACACAATGAACTCTGTCCAGCCCCCGCAGGACTTCACCTTCACCAACGCAGCTACCTGATCCTTAGAACAGTAATCTGGAATGGGAAAATACGTTAGCTTTTTACTAAACAAGATGCAAGCCCTAGGCCTGCCCCCAGTTGTATTATCATACAACAGCTCACCTGTTAGGCCCTTAACCTGATCCTTCACTATGTAAGGCTCTTGGATAAGGGCGATATCGAGGTGATCCTTCATAAATCTATGAGCCAGAACATCAGTAGATGCCCTAGCATGCTGTAGATTTATTTGGATGCACCTCACAGCCATATTATTTCCTCCGGCTCTTGTCTATGGGCTTTGGCCCTTTAGACAAAGGCTTTACATGAGCCTTACCTCCCATTTTCGCCTTTTTACACATCTTGGTGGGCGCCTGCCCTGCCACAGCCTCTTTTGCCGCCCCAGGTGCCACGCTAGCCCCTCCAACAGCAAATACCGAAGCATTTCCGGGCTTCCCAATGGGCTTGAGCCCTTTTGGTTCCCCCGGGACGCTTGTATTAGGCGTGCTGGTCGATGGTCCTTCCGTTTCCCTTGCCGCCATTTTCGGAGCGACTTCAGACTTTCCAATGAGTTTTGGCTCTTTTGGTTGGCCTGAAGTGCTCGTCGTTGTCGTTGTCGCGGTGGGCACTGGTTTTTTATTTTGTCCTGCCCTGCCGCCAGCACCTTGAGAGGATTTTCTTCCTTTAACCCGAACGGTAACACGGAAGAAATTCAGGAAAAGTCGGAACTCCGCTTTCCGTAGATCTTCCAATCCGGAATCATCCACGGAAAAGGTGATGGAGCAGCCCCCGTCCTTTTCCTTATCCATCCTCAGCACCCTCCAGGAACTTATCTTGAGGCTGGGATTTTGCTTCCCTATCCTACTTAGAAATTTGTCCCTGGAGAGACTGACGGTTGTCTCGTCCTTTGGTACGTAGGTGACGCAGACATGCTGTTTGGGCATGCTGTCGCCATCCAGTACCACGACATCGCAACCGTCCCAAGGCTTTATCTTCCTGCAGACACTGGTTATCCACTCCCTGGTGTCTTGATTGTTGCATGTTACGGATATCCATCCGTCCCTTTGCAACGCTGCAGTGAATTGTGGATGAGAGTCCACAACCCTATCCATTTCATCCATGATGGCTACTTTGATTTTCCCCATCTGGACTTCGGATAGCCTTTCCTCTGGATGCAGTCTATGAGTGATGGCCACCTTGACCTGTGCTACTGCATCCCGATAAGAAGTCATTTTCGGGTTTTGTTGAGGAATGTTCCCAGGGACCTTTTCCTCAACATTGCCCTTCATCGACCTCTTCTTTGAGGGCCCTGCATCAGGGGTGTTGCTTTCCGACCTTTCCCTCTTTTGGGGATGGTCGGCCACAACAACCGATCCGCAGGCCTTCAGCTTTTCCAGCCTTTCCTTCTCGTATCCGCGAGCTTCCTCTGGGGACATGCCATCCCTGATATAAGCCGCGATACGCCGCTTGGATGCACCAGAGAAATATTGTTTTTTTCCCCTGATGTCCAACCTTTTCAGGTCCTCCTCAGTTTTTTGGATAATAGGTCCAAGAGGATCCTGATTATCCGTCTCCATCGGAGGCGACGCCTTTTCCTCCACTGGCGTGAGAAGGAGTTCCTCCTCTGCGTCAGTTGAGAGAAGCTCTGGTTCCGAAGACCCTTGAGCACTAAGTGGTTGTATGTTGTCCTTAGTGTCGTTGTTGTTGTTGTCACCGTTGTTATTTGTCTTGTTAGACTATACTTCACAGGATCATTTCTGTAGTAAGTCTTCATTACTTTCCTTTGTTACCTTTCTTTTTTATGTATACGATATAGAGCTTGTTAGTGAAATATTCACTTAAACTTTCTCATAAATTCAGGAAAATTTGGTATTTTGCATATTTTTTTCATTTTTCCTTTTTTTTGGTATTTAGTTATTGATATATTATGTGTGTTGCTTTCAATTTATTGAATTTTATATGATAAACAATCTTTGAACTTGATTTTTATTTTAAAAGAAATGAGTATAATATTTGTATAAATCTATGTGTAAATATAATGTATTGCGCGAATTGAAAGAACCTTGAAAGGTATAATAAATTGCTTTCATTAATGAAAATTCTTTTTCTTTTTTTTTTCTTATTACTATAATTTTATTTTCAATATTGAGAGATATGAACGCCTTCAAGGAAATTATCCATTAAATTATTAAGATTTCTCTATAAAGAAAATAAATTAAATTTCTGTTTTATTTCATTTGTACGCCAGTGAGGACAATATATTCATGTCATTTCTGACATATATTTTTTGTAACAAATCAAATTAGATAAAAAAATATTTTTTAAATTGTAAAGAAATGAGTTCATTTCAATTTATTTATAGGTACTTAGATAAACTCAAATAAATTTAAAAAAACAGATGCACTGCGGTCCCTATAATATAACTGTGTAATAAGCATGTGGATCATTAACGTACATATTTAAAATATAATTTTGTTTATAAAATTGCATTTTTTATTAACAATGGCGTTAACAATGTTTACTGTTTACAAAAGTATTTACAACAAACTTTCAAAGTTGGCATTCCTGAGGAAATAAAAGTATACATATGCATAAATATGTAAATACTCACATATGTACAGTGTATAATATATATTTAAGAAATGCAGCTTGTTTGGACACCACGTGCATGTTTAATTTCATTTAACTTAATTCTTGCATAGCGGTTTAATGTACAATAAAAATAAAAAAATTTTAAAAATTTTTTAGTTGAAATGAATTTGTCGAATCTTACAATTTTCTAATATAAAACCTTCAACAAACGGTTTTAGAAAGTTCATGTATTTTATATGCAGAATGCTAATTCCTACATTTGACAGTGAATCAATAAATTCAGGTCTTTTTCCATTTTTTTCATAAGCAGCGTCGATATTCTATCTAAAGCGTTAATATTTTTTTTATGTATTCCGCCGACGTGTTAGTATTATTGTATTATTTAAAGAGTAAGTGATACGAAATCTATATAAACTGTTGGACACATTACTTGATCCGATCAACGGATATGTACTCTAATTTGTTACTGTAATGTCTAAAAGATATTATTAAATTAATATTCCATTTTTATCGTTTAGAAATAGACGACTCAGGTGCATACACAAACAAATTTACATTCTTGATCAAATTCTGAATTGATGTAAACCTCTCATGACTGCCAGCTTAGCAAAAGAAAAATTTGTTTTACAATTTTTTTAAAATTTTAACACTATTCTCTGTTAAACAAGAATTGAGATACAATAACTTCAAAATCAAATAGAATTTTAGGTTCTACAAGAAGTACTACCTTATTATACATTTTTTAAGATTACTAAATCCAATATTTTGTAAATTACTAAATCAACCAAGTATATTTATTAAAAATTTTTCCAAGAATCAATCATTTTGTATGGAATTGGAACACAATCATGTTAATGTGGTTTCAATTTTTTTTTATTACAGAAAATTATCTATCAATATACAGAAAATTTTTTAACTCAAAATTAAATCACTGAAAACTTAATTATTAACTCTAATTTATGTCACTAATTAACTGTTATGGGTGCATATTACAAATGAATTCTATAGTAAATCTTTTCCTTTCAATAATTATTAATTTGTATATCCCAAACTATTCATATTACTCTATATAAGTATATGTAAATATTATGAACCACATAATGATTTTAGATAATATAAATTTATTTTATTTTCACCTACAGCTGTTCTCATTAATAAAATTCATTATCTTATTTTGACCTAATAAACTTTGATATAGCCACTGTTCTCTATATAATAGTATAATGCTCTCATAGTGACTAATTAAATTATCATTTGTGCCTGCATCATTATACCTACATACCTTTATCTTTTTATAAAATTTAAAATTTCAATTTAAAATACTCACATACGCGCACATTTTTTCTTTCTCTATTTTATAATTTAATATTTACAGTTTTATTACATGCTGTTAATCTAGCTCATTGATCTTCTCTTCTTAAAAATTTTAACATTCCTAAACTAATTTTAATTTTTTCTTTTTTTTTTTTCTTAATAAAATGTTAAACTAATTTATTTTTATAGATATGATTTTTTACCATTTATATTCAATTTTCTACATTTTCAACTTTTTTACATTTAAAAAACAAAATAAAAAAAAAAAGAGTTGTTATCATTAAACCATCACACCTTTACAGAATAAAAAACAATAAATAGAAAAAACGAAAAGACAAAAATAATAACGCCTTAAAATACAAGTTTATTACCAGCAACATGTAGGTACACAAATAGTTGCTGTTCATAGTTAAGCTGAACAGTTTGCTTCTCTTCGACATATTCAAATTATGATCGTGGGTGTCATCAAAAAATCTTTTAATCAATCTATAAATAGAATTGGTTTTTTTTATTAAATATGAATCATAATGAGTGACATTTTTATTTTTTACATATCGGGGAACAAAATTCGGATGCATTAAAATATGTAAGTATTTTGTAAAAAGGTGTCAACAAAATATGTACAAAAATTTCATTATTTTGTATTAACAAAAAACTTTAATGGAATATTGAATACGATTTTTGAAAGGTTGTGTTTTGGAGGAGCAAATCGTCATTTTAGAACCATTGCTCATTAGATAAAAAAGATGTAACCATGTTTCAACGTAAATTCTAAATCGCCAACCAATTTGCCAGGCTTGACTTATCTAATATATTTTAGGCGCTGAATAGAGTAACTTTACTATTGTACCTTTTTGTCTCAGTGCACGTCACCTAGCGTAAATTTTTAAAAGTAATAAAAGAATATTTTTTTTTTGCTAGAAATATTAAAATATGAGGTGGTGTTTTGGTGCAACATAGATTGTGCTCTAAGCCGATTTCAACAAACTTCGGGGAAAAAAATAAATAACTATAATAAAAAAATACAAATTATACCATAAACTAAGATGAATAAAGCGGAAATTTCCATAAAATTCTTAATTGAACAATATTATTTAAAAAATGAGCAACAAATCTAACTCCTAACTATGGTCTAACTTCAAAATTAAATTTAAAATTTTAATTTCGTAAACGTTTTGCTTGTAGTTGTATATAATGGTTTTCTTTTGATTTGTTTTTTTCTCAATAATTTTTTTCACTCTAGCAAAACGAAACAAAATTAATAACCATAAATCTAAATTGGGAAGCGTTTTTAAGTCAATATAATGTTAAAACACAAGAATTTTAAGCTTAAAAACAAAAAAAAAACGAAATCAAGAAGAAGGCAAACATAAATAAATCCTAATATATATATACAAGACTAATAATATCAATCGCCTAATCATCATTGACAACAAACTTTTTTTTTGTTTTTTAAACAAACTGCATATACTTTTATTTTCATATTATATGTAGCTACATTATAAATTTTGGGCAGATGTTAGTTAAAATTGAGTTCTTATTTTTTTAGTATTATCTTCTAATAGGGTTTATGTTATGTAGGCATTAAATTTTTAATCTTAAGACTAAGTTTTAAGTCAAAAATAAAGTTGATAAGCGTGAAATGTGCGATTCATAATTCTATTCTTAATTATAGCTGACAAGCATTTAGTGTTGCCACAAAAATGTATAAATAGAGACCGATAACAATTTTATTTTTTCTTTTCTATACAACTATATTCATTGGAATGCACAATCACTCCTTTAGAATTTTCTATTTTTTCATCATATTTAATTTAATAGTTAGCATATAGATGTAGAAATTATAGACATTAATACATTCTATGTAACATAAAAAATACCATAAATATTTACACATATATATATATATAAATGTATATTAAGAACCTATTTATGTACATATATGCATTTTAAAGATATAGAATATGTCTTTTTACTATTAGCCTATGAATAAATTTATTTATTTAAGTTTTATTTATGATTATGACCCTTTCTAGAACATGCACCTATACACTTTATAGAAGACATATTATACTTACATATAATATATAGAAGACTAGATCTGGAAATGACTTTACCACATTTGGAGATAAACATGAAAATCGACTCTAACTAATAAATTAAAAACGACTACAAATTCAAGAAAAATTATTGTATTTTTTTATTGCATTGCAATATTTTTTAAAAACTGTACGTGACGTCATAAAATAAATCTAAATAACCATTTAAGAGATGAAATAGAAAATATAAATTTATTATTTCAATTACATACATACTTATATATCAATATATGTACATATAGATAAACTTAGTTAGAAATTACGTAGATGCATATAAGTATAATAAAATCGAAATAACAAATAATCGATTAATAAAGAAATTGTCTGGAAGGATCTTAAAAAAATATATAACGTGATATTAATATAAATACTTATAGTTTATGTTGTTCAGTTAATAATTTAACTGTCATAGTCAATAATTCTTAAATAAAGAAAAGTCTAGAGTTTATCTTTAGTTAAAAATTTTATAAATAAATTAATAAAAAAATATTATTTAACTTCATAAATCATGAACTATTAGAGGTTCACATGAATTTAATAAAAAAATTCAACTTAAATATGGCATAAATTTTCAAAATTATTCACGAATTTTGTAATTTTCCAAGAAAACAATAAACTAAATATGGTAATTATCTGCTACCTAATCTTTATGGTAATTATCTGCTCTAATATCTTAGGTAACAACTTGCCCTTTAATTAAAATCGTCGACAAGCTAAATTTTCGAACCACAGAAATGAAAACCTTACGGCAAATAACTGGTAGAGCTCTCAGAAATTGTGTCAGAAGTGCCGACGTCAGCAGACGATGCGATGTTCAAGATGTAG